TTATTACAACTGTTAATAGCCGAAGGGGTGTGTTTCCACGGACCAGTTCTGTGCACTAGCTACGTACCACATATGCGGGTGCAGTGGATGATTATAAATATTGAATAACTTACGTACGTTATTCAATTACTGTGGAACAACGAGCTACGTGCAATTAGGAGAATGTTCTTAATTTGTAACTGAATCCAAAAATTCCCTATTTTAAAATTGCTAGTTATTACAGAAAAAACAATCGTTACCACTGCAGAAATTACTTCAACATCGATCCTTACTGCTCGCACACACATGCATCTCACTTTTAGCTACTCATTTAGTGTCTGATGTATTATTCAATTCAATTATGACGTCAGTAGTTCAAATTTAATTTTGGTGAAGTCAAACAAAGTCAAAAATAAAACAGTGGCAGAAATCTCGTTAACTGACTTTTATTTCCTGTACTGCATATGCGTTAATTTTCCACAACCTTGCCCAGTACGCGACGTTTCGGACTGGAGGCGTTTCTCTCCCAAAATATATATTCAGCCGAATCCTGAGTAGGGCACCGACCGTTTTATTTGAGTGGTTAGCACTCCTAATTTGTATTCGGGTTTAAATCTCGGCCCAGACACCGGATATCCTGACTGGTGTTTTTCGATGTTTTCCTCAATTTCTCCAGATAAATTCCGGGATATTGCCTTAAATCTGGCCACGACCAGTTCCTTCCACATCCTTTCCAATTCATTATTCACTGTCGTCCTCTTATCCGACATTACATAGTTTACTTACTGAGCGCGTCGTTAAATAAACTTTAAATAAATAATGCTCAGTAGGGCACGCGGAGAGTAATATTTAAATAAATATAAACTCTGTTAATTAAAAGCAGAAAGACGGAAGGATATTCCACTGTGTCTTTATTTTTAAAATCTGTCTTGTCTACATGCCTCAAAGAAAAATAACAGAAATGGTAAAAGCGTAAGATGGCTTTATTTAAAATAAAAGTATAATCCCTGGAATTTCAGAACATTTGAAATATTCAAAGTCTGTAAATCTCAAAGCTGTCCAGTTACATTTACAGTAACTTACTACTGTAATTGAGGGTCTCGTGGTTGTTAAGACGTTCATGTTCATCTTCCGCGTTGTAACGCCATGCGTAATTGTTCTTGTAGGTAGACACCGACGTTTCGAAATAACATATTTCCCCCATATTCAGGCTTAAAGGACTGACTACAATTATTTGTTCACTCAGAAGGTAAGTGAACAAAATCTGAACCATTTGTTTTGTGAAGATTTCCGTCTTCTGGGTATTTGCACTGTGTAGTCTGGTCGATGTTAACCAACGTTTCAGACGTCATCAGGGCCCAGGCAGTATGATCTCTGAAACGTTGGTTAATATCGACCAGACTACACAGCGCAACAACCCAGAAGACGGAAATCTTCATACTCACCGCTGTGAGAACCTCAAGTCTTACATTTGTTTTGTGTTTGAAGAATTCCGACTGTCTTCTGCAACGCATTTAAAATAAAAACTTTAGTCTGCTGTAAAACATAATTGTTGACACTTGTATTGTAAAAGAACGTGATGGAAATAGTTCACCGCGACTCTTTCCTTGGTTGCCAGCGATTAAAGTGACGGAACAGATCAAAATCCACACGCTTTATGTACGTATTCCTAATCTGTATCACCCGAACGGTATTGTTCGGTGATCAAGTTCGTTCGCGGGCACAGACATATCACGTGTCTCCACGTAGCCATATGCTACGATGTAACTGGATTATCCTAAACACCACCATAAAAGCAACCACAGCGCAAACAATACGAATACTCTAATAACCATTTGATTAATCACATTTGACGTCACTGTGGGCCTCACAGACATACAAGCTAATAACTGCAATAACACTCCTGTGAGAAAGCACGGTGTCAACGTTTCCATCGACACTCCATGACACACAACTATAGGGTCAATATATCATCATACCCTCCAGTAATTATTGAACATACCACTGAGAATTTACATGATATTCAACCCCCTTTCCGGTTAACAGTTGTACCAACCGACATACCTTCCCGAGGTGGCATGGAACCAATGTCATCCGTTAATAATATGACGTAAAGTATAACATGCCTCGGACAATATTTGTAACACGCCAAATACCAGTGTAGTGACAAATGAAACTCCACCCGCGAAATGTGCACACATTGTGGATAGCACAATTTGAAGTTAACGCTTGCTGATTATTTCAAAGCGGGGACACACAATACCGCCCATCGTAGTTGCAGAGTGAGTACTAATACGAAACGTAATACCTCACAAACATATGATAACCAGTTCTGTCGTTTCTACAAAAATCTCCGATCACCCCACTTTACCCTCTCACCAATAACGAAGAGTGGAGACGGAATTATTTGGACACCAGGGTGAGAACAAACCAACATGGAGTTAACTGTAAAGTTACGAGGTACTTAATTGTTAAATTTCCAAAATGATATTAAAGTTATTTATTAAAAAAAATACACAGACGAGAGAATAATATTACGAAACTAAGTGCAACAGATAAAATAAAGAAGCTGATTGTCTTGGGAGGTTTTTCTCAAGCTTAAGTTTCTAAAATGTTTCTTCTTCTTACATTACCCTCAGTATTCACAGCTCATAATTTTGGACCAATAAACTTCCTAACACTATACTTAGGAAACGCACAGAACGAATTTAACAACGAAATTCCAACGAAACGTGGAAGCGGGTTCATATCAAATTCAACAATATTCCGTTACAGAACATACAAGTGTTCAAATGACAAATTAACGCCCTAACACAATCGAAATGTTTCAGCTGTCAAATACTGACGTCAAAGTATCAAAAGCCTTGGGATCGAATCACAATTCACTAATTCGATCAACAGACAACGGCCAACGATAGCTTCAATTATGTGTCAAATTTGTGATGATGTAGATTAGTGTAACAGCTCCAGAGAGTTTGTCCTTATTAGATGTCAGTCACTTGTGTAGTGTGGGACGAGATACGTGTACTGAGACTCTACATTATTAAGTAGTTTGACATATTCGACATTCACGAGAGATTTGATCCTATGCGCAGTCAGAAATCAATCCTGTGGTATGATTTCTTGTAACGGTGAAATATCTGGTTGTATGTTTCGTGGTTTGATACCTTAGCTTACCCGGAAGATTTGCAAAAATCTCGCCTCTATTAGTTTCAACTGGAAATAGTCTATTTTTTCCTTAATTTCCTCTTGAAATCGGCAGAATGCCAAGATCTCCGTTGGTCTATCCAAATGACGTAGGAGGTGCAGTTTGCACTTTATCTGATTGTATAAATATGCATGTCAGTCTGTTTACACATCGTCATCTCCTATGTACATTAGACTAAATGGAATGAGATGGAATAACCCAAAGTCTCTCACGTTGGAGACTATTATCGTATGAATAGTGATTTTAGAGTGAAATGGCAGATCTAAACTTTGCCAAATAGAAGATACTCTTCCTCGTCTTCTAAGCCTGACGTTTTGCACTGCTGACTTGACAGTTTTCAAGCACTTAAGAAAACAAAGTCTTGGCGAAGAAGTTGTATTATTCTCCTAGTGAATGTCACTGGGTTTCAAAGAAGCTACGCTGTGTATCTCCGGCCTGGCGTAACAACCCACAATAACACATCCATATTCATACTCGCCGCCATAATAACCCGAAATCTTATTATTAAATGTAAACAACTATCTAAGTAAGCTCTTACCGAAAACTCAAACGCGAAGTTTCGCGTACAATTATTAGGTAACAATTTAGGGCATACGAAGATAAAATATTTTGAACTTAACTGTAAATTTTTTTTCAGAATTTAATATGATATTAAATGCCTACAAATTTTATTTGTTACTTGCCCCTAGATGCTTGAACACTAATACATATTCAAACGGTTTATTAACCATGCGGCGTCGTTGACAATAACAAAATCAACCACAGAACAACATTTCTATTTCAAAAGTTTCGAAGTCGAAAACCGAACTTGTGACATTCCTGGTAACTCCATAAAGAAATTCAAGCTATACATCAGATGCCCTATAAAACAACGAATTCCGGTAAGTGTAAGGGCGACACATTTTTAATTGTATAAAATTTTCGATTTTGAAGCAGAGGCTTGCTATAATTGTGTGCTGTAGCCATGCAAGTAGAAAGTTTCTGCGTGTGACGTGTAAGTATATACAATTATCGATCTTCACGATCAATAGCCTAATGTTCAGTTTGATCCAGCCGTTGTACACTTTACTCTTACATGACTCTCCCCACCGGACCGTAAATTGAATTGCGAGAAGTCGGTAGCCAACGCTATAGGCCCTACTGACCCTTCTGCTTGGAGTCAAAGAGCAAAGAGTGAAGTGCGTCTGTAAACATGTGTTTGTCAGGTGACAAACAAATCTAGTTTGTACACCGTAAAACAAAATTACACATCCCCAACTCGCAAGTATCAAACGCCTGACATCGGATTTAATAAGTACAGAAGAAGAATTTGTTATAATGGATCTTGACGAAAGGATTACGGTATCGCATGGAAAATTCTTGGATTCCGGAGAAAATAAACATACAATTGGAGTTATTTAAATTATTATAAATGAAGTATTTTTACAATATAATGTTGTAAATTCCAGCTAATAAATATTAGAATTAATTCATAATTTTGTAAAAAAAAATCAAAAAGTAAAGCTTGCCGCTATTTAAATTTCTCAGTATGAGTCACGTATATAAACTACGAATGAGTCTAATCCTTTGAAAATATTGGGACTTCTTTGTTGTCTGCTCATGAGAAGCAAATTTCCAATAACAAATCAAAGTAAAGATCACGCGTAGTATTCTTTGAAGCGCACAGCAACTGTTACTGAGAGCGTTAACGAGTTTAATTTCTATTCCCATGGCACTGACGTTCTCTGCGGGAAACGTGAGAAAAGTGGAGGTAAAATGGGTTTTCTAAGGTTATAATGGGGAAGAAATTAGTACGAATTACATTAATTCCTACCAGAACTTCCGTTAGCAGATGTTGGGCGTTCTCCACATTCGATGATCAGTCCAAGTGAGTGACCACTTGAGGAATTATTGTTGTCTGTAAAGACGAAGAACAAGAAGAAATTAAGAAACGAGAAGAAAGGACGCATCACTAGTGACTTTAAATACTGATAAAACGCGAAAAATAAGGTAGGACAAATTTTACCTCGGTTTAAGATCTAAATTTATTCTTTCATCTTCTAAAATATTTTTAAAAAAACCAATATTCCGTATCATAAAATTTCATAGATTACATGTTTAGATCGCGTACATTATGAATGCAGAGAGCAGAGATAACAACAGGTGAGATTTTAGGTTCCCACGGCGGGAAGTACGAAGATGGCTGTCTTTTGAGTTCTTGCGCCATGTAGTTTGATGGGAGATCGACCTGGTGATTGAGGCATAAGAGAACAGGGTCCAATGGTGATCTTTCGTAAACACCGTCATGAACATTCTGACCACCAAAACACCAGATCATTTCTTCACCGGCAGAATATAATGTACTACAGACTTGTCGCTCTTACCCGAATAATAATATATAAAATAATCACCTACTTTTCTTCCAAACACGTCCCGAAAATCTGTCTGCGCATAATACTGGCGGAAGTTAAGTTGGGTTAAATGTCTTGTTACTTCTGAAAATATCTACCATAATTGAACATGTCCAAAGAATTTTTGCAGGAGAAGTATCTTTTGTCTTTCAGTCCCCTACCTTATTCAAAAACCCTAACAATTAAAACTTGTACCTGACGCAAATTCAAATGTTATTAAATGTCTCGTAAAGTACTTAATAAAACTGAGCATGTGCGAATACAATGCACAATAAATCTCGTGTCTTCCTGTCCGTTATCTAAAAACCTAAAATTAAAATAGGCTATACGAGGTGCGATCGGAAAGTTTCAGGACTGCGCGTATAAAAACCCGTACACTTATCTCAGGTATTAAATTCATCCATCACCCTCGAAGTAGTTCCCCTGGGAGTGAACACAACGATCCCAGCGCCGCTGCCAAGCCTGGAAGCATCCCTGGAAATCTTTCTTTGTCAGCCTGTCAAGCACCATCTGGGATCGTTGTGTTCACTCCCAGGGGAACTACTTCGAGGGTGATGGATGAATTTAATACCTGAGATAAGTGTACGGGTTTTTATAGGCGCAGTCTAGAAACTTTCCGATCGCACCTCGTATGTATTCCCAAAGTAGTGGCCAAAATTAATGTGGACACAGCCAGCTAGGATGGCACTGAGACGCGGATGTAGTTGTCCGCCTCGACACGTTTCTTCCTTGAGTCAGTTTCAATCAGCGGAAAAGCTTACGAAATTATACGCAGAATAGGTATATTTACACCCAAACATGTACATAAATCAAAAAATAAAACAGTGATCAATAGTGCTAATCAGCCAGAAACATGCAGTTTTGCGTTGCACGTAAGACATCGACAATTATCTGCCGAAGACGTTAATGTAACTGACCTCAATATTACTGAGGTCAGTCACTAGCCTACTATAAGGAATTCTGAGTATCGAACAGGTGTGTAGAATGTCGCATCGAAATAAATCGACGGATAATACACGATGTGACGGGTAAATGAAATGGAAAATTATTTTCGCTCATATTTTTCCTACATCCAAACGTTCAAATAGACCAAGTGTCGCGTTAACAGATGTTCTCATACGCCAGTTAAGAATTAACATCGATATCTGTGTAAAAAATAAACAAGCAGAAGAGAGTACCAACAAAAATATTATCAAGGGTAACATTTAGGTTGTGCAGTATTTTATTTCTGTATCACGTGTGAAGACAGGTAAAGCCGTACAATAAGTTGGGATCAGGCAGCCATGTAATTTAACTACACAACAAATCTAGTTCGCTAAAATAATTGGACCAGTCGTTTCCTGTCCGTCTGCCCGAAATTGAAGCTGGCTTCTTCGTTCTGTCCACGGTCCATGACATGTCATCCTGAACTTATGGGAGATCCTATACGTAGTCTGAATTGTAGTAATGTAATTGACCTCCCTTCCATCCATCAGAAGCAATGTTTCCGAGTGCGACTAGATAGAAATTCAATTACATCAGCTACAAAGAGACTATGAAAAAAGTAACGCCTGGAGTAAACTACACTCTCCTCAAATCAAAGTGAAATGTTTTCCGTCTGTTACTTTCCGGGCTTTCTCTCTTAAGTGATAACCAAAAGTAGGATTGAAATATTTGAACACTCTTCCTCTAAATGCATTTCAGTCCCGAAACAGCTTTTACGTTCAGTTTAATCGCATTCTACCCTTCTCTTTGTGTGTGCGCGTGTGTGTAATTGAAATATTTAATTCTTCCATTCGGTCAACTGGATTAAAGCGAAGTGAAACTTTTTTAATAAATTATCTCGGACTAATTCTAGAAATGATTGGGAATGTAAAATTAAATTTAAAGCACCAATCAAGAAAACATTTATATGCAGGTATTGCTGTTTCTCTGGGCGTTATCCGTTGTTTGGTATTCTAAAATCGAAGCCACATTGTCATCGAGCTCTGTTCCCATCTCCAGCTGAAACTGCCTACTTACGAGGTGCGATCGGAAAGTTTCTAGACTGCGCCTATAAAAACCCGTACACTTATCTCAGGTATTAAATTCATCCATCACCCTCGAAGTAGTTCCCCTGGGAGTGAACACAACGATCCCAGCGCCGCTGCCAAGCCTGGAAGCATCCCTGGAAATCTTTCTTTGTCACCCTGTCAAGCACCATCTGCGATTCTGCCTGAATCTCTTCTATCGTCTCAAATCTCCTTCCCTTTAGCTGAATTTTCATCTTTGGGGAGATAACAAAGTCACACGGAGCTTAGAAAGGAAGTTGGGGTCGGTTCTTGCAAGATCTTTAAACTCCTGACAAACGAGAAGTCGATTCTGCTTCTGGCCCTCAGACAGGATGCGTCGCATGTGGAGTTCTTCCTTTAGAATCAGCTGACAGGTCCCATAGCCTATCCCAACAATGTCGCACAAGTCGTTGATGGTACGACGTCGATCTTCGTAACATTTTCGGGCGTTGTGCTCGAAGATGGTCGTCCAGAACGCTCGTCATCATCGACAGAGGTTCGGCCATTTTTAAAACGTGAATGCCACACAAAAGTTTGTGGGCGCTGGGATCGTTGTGTTCACTCCCAGGGGAACTACTTCGAGGGTGATGGATGAATTTAATACCTGAGATAAGTGTACGGGTTTTTATACGCGCAGTCTGGAAACCTTTCGATCGCACCTCGTACCCTGTTGCGTCCGACAGAAGGGGTAATAACAATAATAATCAATTTAAAATTCAACGTGCACTAAAATGTCAGTTATTTCCTATCAACTGTGATATGGTCCAAGTATTTCCGTGTCACACACCAAAATTATCAGTACTCTGTCCAGATTGGTGGGCACGTAGTGCGGGACATGGAAATAAAGTTACACTGATCATTATTATAAATTAATTTAATTTAATTATTGTTGTGCCAGATGTCCTTCTGTTCGTTTACAAGTTGATATTCAGATGTACTACTTTAAGTGATGGAATGTTCACACTCTTCAGGCAAACTAAATTTTTCAGTGCTACCAACATCAGTTTTGAAGTAAAGAACAACTGCCCTTAATGTTATACATTCCCTTGTATTTGGTGAGTACGTTTTGTGTAACCGCGTTTAAAATCCACGTAAATATTCGCTTTGAAGGCATGACAGCTACGGGGTACGTGATCATTCTGTAGTAGTTCCATAACTAAACACTGCATCTCATTAAATTTGCTCTACTGTCAATGACTGTACACGTATTTTATTTTCCAGCGAGTGGAAACTAGATACGAATGGAAGTAGGAGAATGGACGAACGCGCGACCCAACCAACAGGAATGTAGCAAAGAGCTGTAAACTGCGAACTGGCTAGTTCACACCGCAAGACCACCAAACACCGATTTCCCATTGCATCACCCCGATTCACTAACCACTGAGCTTACCGCTGTACCACACAGATC